ATCATGTTGTACGGGGTGGAGAACCCTCACTCCCCGCAACGGGGGATGATCCCACCACGTTGTGTTAAAATGGTCAAGCCCCCTCGAGGCAGTTACCCAGTGCTTACAACTGTCTCTGGAAGTGAAAGCACCAGAAAATAAATTAAGTCATACGCAGCTGTCACCCGTACGCAAGGAAGTAAGCACAAGATGCCGAATACCCTTAGCAGGATGCAGCTCACCCTTCATGCGACTCGCCAAATACCTCACGGTGCTTCGCGCTTGGTGATGTGAGAGCCTGGTCCGGTGAAAACCCGGCGTGCTCCGTCCCGGCTTTGTAGGGATGCGAGGTCAATGGTCTAATGACTACGGCATGCACGACTATGAGTACCCCCCCCCTCCCCCCCCCCCGCCGCGACGAACCGTACTGCGCACCACCGCCACTGTTCCATTCCCACAAGCAGGCCATGATCAGCTTCACCAAACACCTCATCCCAGCCCCCCCCGGCCGCTGCCACTGCTGCGCGGACGAACCAAACACGAGGGCCGGGCAGGGACCCTCAAAAGTCTTCCTGCTCGAAGGAGTCATCCTCGTCGTCCTCCGTCCCCCACTCGTCCTCGTGGGTGAGGCTGCTGGTGGCGCCGCTATTCCGGGTCCCGCGGGGGCCCATGTACAAGCAGGCTTTGATGGTGGCGTAGTGTGCGGAGCCCCGGAACTCCGGGAGGGAAGAGTGAACCATTACTGTCGGGGCAAAAAAAAAAGAGTTGATTTGTATGGGATACTTGCTTTGAGCACACGCCGGTGCTGCTTGACATTTGAACACCTATGTCGCGTGTTTTTTTGTTTTTTGCTCTTTGCAAAAACACAACCAATCAATCTCGTGCACAAAGAGCCCTGGATACCCGTGGTTATATTTTCTCTTTTCGTAAACAGCATTTAAGTGTTTTTTATTATCATCGGAGCACGCCGATGTTGAGGGAGATTTCTGTCCCCAAGTCGAAATGCACCGTTGCTCCTGGAACCAACGCGTGATAAACGCCTCGTGCATAAGCACCATACTTACAAAATGTTAACAATAGTACATACGTACAGTGGTATTCACCCCGCTGTCAATCCACGTGCCGCGGCAGCACGACATGGAGGGCGTACTCGTGTAAATAGGAGACGGGGTGGGGGGAAGTCAGGTCAAAAGACAACAGGGTCGGACCAACCAGAAACGAACGACCTCAACATAGGTCAAGACAAGAGGTATTGGGGGGGTCAATGAGAAACCAAGGAGGGACTCACGAGACAAAAGCTCCAAGACCACCGGGGTGAAGGTGTCCAAAGATGCCCTCGCTAGCTCCACGTCTCTGGCTCGCCTGGCTACACAATCCTTCCGCATGTCGTCCCCGATGTTGACCTGACGGGCGGAACAAAAGACGGGGACGGCGGGGACGGGGAGGTATTTGGGCCACTCGTGAGAGAGAGGAAGAGGGAGGGAGAGAGGGAGGGATGGAGAGAGACAGGCAGACGACAGACAGACAGACAGACAGGCAGGCAGACAGACAGACAAAAAACACTCCCAAATAGAGACAGAGAGAGGGAGACATATAGAAAAACGTTCCAAACACAGAGAGAAACACAGCAGAGAGAGAGAGAAAGAGAGAGAGAGAGAGAGAGAGAGAGAGAGAGAGAGAGAGAGAGAGAGAGAGAGAGAGAGACAAACGCAGACAGGCAGCCAGAGATACAAACAAGCCCCAACAGACTACTGCGAAACGGCTCCCTTGCGCCAGCGTCGACCAACCCGCAAAAAACTCGCTTCTCACCTCTAGTCGGCTGGACTCCGACAAGTACTTCTCTTCGATCTCCCCGCCCAACTGCAGAGCCGCAACAGGCGCAGACGCACTCTCCGCATCCACTCCGACCACCATCTCCTGATACCTGTGTTCGGAGGCACATCGAAGGAACGTGAGGCAGAGGGGACCGTCTAACCCTATGACCCAACTCCCCCGATTGCATACATTATCCAACATGTATCCTTCTTTAGAACTACCCTCCAAAGGGTACTGGGCAGAGGCCGTGATGCGTCAGCTGCCCATGCAGTGGCACCGCTTCAAGGATCCCTCTTCTTTGGCACGAGGTTCGTTGCCTCTCTGTATGGGGAAACCCAACAGCAGTAGCGGACTATTTAAGGTTGTAGCTGTAGGGTGCTGGACTGCCGGGCCTGCTGTTCCGATGGTCAAGAGCATTAGCGGACTACTCAGGGTTGTAGCTGTAGGGTTCTGGACTGCCAGGCGTGCTGTTCCTATGGTCAAGAAATAATTTTTAATACTTCGAGTACGACGATCACCGAAAGACTAAATACCTGTTCGAGATAATACTACTACTTTTCTGTACTGTCGGAGGGGACGTGTTGAGCCTGGATTTCTTCACTAACCCTCAGCTTGTTCTCAAGTGGTAACGCATACAGCTGCTGCACTCCTGAAGTAGCCGACATGGTGCAAAAAAGGACGCCTTTCGCTTGGAATCATCAGTTCTGGCTAAACCCAAAAGGCTTGCACGCTTTATATGTGGATAGAGATGTAAGAAGAACATAAAAACCCTTGAGAGGGAGGTTCATCACCATAGGTGCAACATCAATCGCCCCGTGGGATGCCGCAACACATGAAGTGGTCATGACCACGCGGCGTAACAACAATAGAGGGGGCCCGCCCGATGCGAGCAGCGAACATGGGCAAGGTCGACCTGAGAATCTGCGGGCATGTGCAGGCAAATGATAGGACCTCGTCCTCGTCGACACATTGCCAAATGCCGCCCAGCCGCCGAACACTAGAAATCATGCTTTTCGATTTTGTGTATCACGGTTCTGCTGTAGGTTGTTGCGTCTCTCTCTCTCTCTTTTCGGCAAGACAAGCGGGTTGTTTGTGTTGTTCATGCCTGTACATGCTGCAGTGTCGAGAATGATTGCGCCTCTTTGGCCACATAACGACAGGATGCGCCGAGCGAGCCGACGCGAGCCCTCGGGGATGATCATGCCCGCTCTCACCTCATCACATCCTCCACAAAAACCAAGTTCTCCGCACACAATCTCTTCGCCAAGAACTGCATCATCGGGTAAGCAAAGGAGATGAGGGGAGGGGGGGGTAGGGAGTTACAAACGGTGCGAAAAACAACGCTCACTCGTGCAAGAACCCGAATGAATGCTGGAGAGAGGGGGAGGGGGGGGGGAGCGAGTTACAAAGGTGCGAAACACACTTTAACGCGAATGTTTTTTTTTTTTTTAGAGTTTTTTTTATTGAGACGTAAAATAGATGGGAGAGGAGGGGGGGGGCGGGTTGTAAACGAAGAGCACTACTCGTGTACAAGTACACGAATGCTGGTGGGGTGTACCAGGTGGTGGGTAGGCACCAAGAGAAGAAATGACGCAACCAGGGCAGGCAATACTGACACAAACTCAAAATAATCCACGCAAGTCTGCGGGAAGGGAAAAGCACTCGGCCGCCAGCACGGTCGGTGTGCCCGCGTGAACTATTTAGCAGCCGAAAAGCAGCAGCAGCTGCAGCAGCAGCAGCAAGGCAACAAGAGCATCCCTAAGAGCAGCATCATCAGTAGCAGTAGCAACATCAACATCATCAGCAGCAGCAGCAGCAAACACACAACGCTCTCTCTCTCTCTGTCTCGCCTGCTTGAACCCGGCGCGCAGGTCGGCGTTCTCCAGCACAGCTCTCATTTCCTCCGTGCCGTTCTCCTTGCAGAAAAACGGCAACTCCAACAGCACACGCGGCCTCTCCGCCAACGCCCGGACGCCCCCCCCCCCCTTGTCAGCGGCGGTGCCGGGCTCGGCACTGACCCCGACGTCCCCTGAAACACCGCCCCCCGCCGATGCCCCGCCGGCTCCTCCACCAACGGCGGCTGCCAGACCGCCGCCGCCGCCGCCCTCTTGCGCAGCAACGGTGCTCACACCAGACCTGGAGGGCACCGCCGGGGGCGGGGCGGGTGGGGGGGGCGGGCCTATCGCGGAGAAGGCGGAGACGGCCTGGGCGAAGAGGCTACTCGGGCTGCTCCACCGCCGGCCGTCCTCACCGCCGGCACCGCCCCCGCCGGCACCGCCCCCGCCGGTGCTGGCGCTGCTCTTGCCCCGCCCCGACCACCATGCGGGGGTGTCCTCGTCATCCGGCTGCTGGGGCAACGGCGACCACCAGCGGCCTTCGCCCTCCCCCCCCGCTCCTTCTTCCGACGGCTGCCTCAGAGACCACCACCTGACGCTGCCGCTGCCGCTGCCGCTGCCGCTGCGGGCGTCATCGCCTTCTCCTTCAGACTTCCCCGTCTCCCCCTCCAAGTCCGGCGAAGCGTCTGGTGCCTTCAAGCCTACGCGATCGGCACCATGCCGGCGCTTCGCCGCCGCCGCGGTCTCTTTGCCCCCGACGACGACGATGACTCCGCCGTCGTGGGCGGCAGCGGGGGAAACCGCGGGGCTGTCTCCCGGGAAGAAATCGCCCCCCCTCCGCACCCCCAGCGGGTCCGCCGACAGTCCGTCGCTCCACGACTTCTCGCTAGGCCTGCCCAGAACGCCTTTTCCCTCTTCTTCCTCTTCGTCGGACACCCCGTTCCCGTCCCCCCTCCTTCTCTCCATCAACTCCTCATCGTCCGGGTCGATCTCCGCCCCACCACCACCACCGCCGCCGCCGCCGCCGCCGTCGCCGTCGCCGCCTAACGGTGACCCGAAGCTCTCTCCGCGGCCGGGGAATACGCCCAGGCCCTCGAACTCCAGGTCCACGGCCGCCACGACGAGGACATCGGAAGCCGCTAGGGTGTCGTCCTCTCCTACCTCGACGGCGTCACTTCTCCGCCTCCGGCTCCAGCGCGACGGCGGCCTGTCGCGATCGCCGCTGCTGCGGGTGACGGGGGTGCTGGCCGCTCGCCGCCGGTAGCTGCCCCCGATGCCTCTGGGCCCCCTGACGCTGAGCTTGGCGACGGGTCCCCCCCCCCCACCCCCGGCCCCCGCCGTGGGGGAAAAGTTACCCCTCGCCGAAAGCAGGGACCCGACTGAAGACTGGCTGGTGCCCAAAGATGTGCGCCCGTCGCTGCCGGAGATGTTGCCGCCGCCGCTGCCGCCGCCGCCGCCGTAGCAGCTGCCATGTCCCGACGGCAGGGAGCTCCTGCTGTGCCTCTTGCCCCCCTCCCCGCCGGCTGCTGCCGGACCGTAGTCGAGCCCTCGCCTGTCGTCATTCTTCGGGAGGGTGCTGGCGTTGGAGGTTGTGCGGGGGGAGGCCTGAGGCTTCAAGAACCCGGGTCGCAGGCGCATTGGTTCCTCCCGGGAGCCCTCCCGGTTGCGCTGGACGAAGAGTGAAAGGGGGAGGCGCATGGGGGGGGTGTATTCATGTAACCGTAGGCGGGTTGGGGGGGGGGGTACTCATGATGCCTGAAGCGGTTAGACAATATTGACCATGCGTCCTCGAGAGGACGGACGGAGAATTGTTTCCACAGGGCCAATCACGAATGGGCAATCGTTCTTTCCCATGAATATACGTATGTAGTCTGCCAAGGCGGCTCATGACGGTAGTGGGGGGCCCTCAATAGTGCCGGATGAGAGTGCCACTGGCCCGAGCAGCGCCGGTGAAATCGCGTGACACACCGATGATCTGATGGAACATACTAGTTGCCTCACTCTCTGCAGCGGGGTCATCTCTCCCGGCTGATTATTCCAAGCCCGTTCCCTTGGCTGAGGGTACTAGTAGTAGATAGGCAAGTGGGACTAGCATTTACGCGTGCCGCTAATATTAATAGTTAGCGCACACGTACCGGCACTATTGAGGGACCCCCCCACTAATTGCACCGGACCGGCAATCAATACGCTCAATAATTATTTTTCCTAATAAGTTCAATGCCCGAACAGCGACCAGATTCCCCACGGGTACTAATACTAACTATGTCGAGAGTCCCGCTCGCATGCTGTGTTAGGGGCACACCTTGCAGGGCGCTGAGTCCCTCCGAGAACCGAGGATACGGCGGCTGTCTGATTGCCGTGGATGATTGGAAGGTACAGCAGCAGCAGGATCTACTGAAGTTTTTTTTTTTTTTTCTCCCATCATTGGACTCTGTCGTCTGCCCCTTCTGGCCCCCATCCTCCACTTCTACTAGTTGGACGACCCAACCGGGGTCACATAGGAGGGGGGGGTTGGACCCCCTCCCGCGGTTCCTGCCTGAGATATTTTTTAACGCGAGAAGGGTACAGCAATTCCTTCCCTCGCGACTTATGAAGTCGATCTAGTTTGTTTACCTCCAACGAGCTTTCTTTGCAGCGTGTCGCTTCCAACTTAGACCAGGATTTCTTTAGGGAGAAAAAGGAACTCACTTTGCCGGGCTCGAACTCATGATCTGGCCCTTGTCAGGCTGCGAAGGTACCCACTACACCACCGGACATCGGTACGAAGACGGCACGCTTTAGAAGAGCGGGGGATCCATGACCAAGACCGACGCGTCCTAAACAATAAGCACCGATGATGTCGGAAGAGTGGAGGATTCATCATGAGGCCGGGCAGGTTCGAATCCGTTTAACAACAACGGGTAGACATTTTTTCTGTAGATCGATCGTATAGGTTTACGTACATTTCTGCATATTCGCTCAAAACAAGAACCGATCGGCCAAACCGGCGTGCCGGTGGTGGATGGCAAGTATAACGGCGAAGCTAGGGCCCATGACTTGCGGACACGTAGGAGTATAGGGCCGATGACGACAGACACGTCAGGAATAATAGACGAAACAAAGACGGATCATCGGGCACCATGGAAATCCAGGGGATCGCAAAGGTTGAGACAGAACTGGTCAGTTCGCGTGGGCTGGATAGAAGATGTTTCTTGCTGGACACAAGAGGGTGGCCGGACCATCGGTTCGCGGAAACCGCTCGATCCCGCTCTACAAGCAGCAGTGCTGCTGCGGTCAACCCTCATTTTGGTCCCCCTCGCATCTCTCCTGTTTTGCCCCAAAACAATGATGTCAAACCGCAGAAAAAGCCGCCCTCCCGCCCTACCCTCGGGACATTGTAGTAGCGGAATGACAACAAAGTCTCGGCCCGCTGTTGGCCGAAAACACAGAAGTCCGTTCGCTGCTGTGGGTCGAATCGAAACCAATGGTTGGTGCAAACATTGCTGTCGTTGTCTTCACATCAATACAACCGTTCCGTTCTCTCTATACATGCATATAAAACAATCCTTATCCTTTCTGGCGTTTAGAAGTATGATATGATAGCTCCAAACATTAGAAAGTGTTATATACAAACTGCTGGAGCATATTAGCATACTATTATTATGTGGATATCTATGGCAGTTTGTTTCGCCGGGGGGGGGGCGATGAGCTGCTCGTGGGCAAGTTACCGCCCAATTGGGGGTGGGGGTGGGGGATGGACGGAGACGGACACGCGCATTTTTTATTTTCCTTCAACGTCGTTTGTTGCCTTCGAGACCATCCAATGAGGCCTGCCTCTCGCTTCAAGAGCGCTCGTTCTGCCCGGATCAAGCAAAGCGGCCCTCTTTGTGGGACTCAATACGACGATAAGAACGCGGCACTCAGATGGTAGCAGTCAGGAACGAACTTGAGCCTATAAATCCAAAATCTAAGAACTAAGAACACGTGCTCAGTCCTGCACTGAAAAGAGCGCTCGGCCAACCTATTAGTAGGTGCCGAATTATGCACTGCTTGCTGTAGTCTAGGCTTGGGGCGGCTGTGGCAAGAAAGCCTTGTCTGTTATTGTGTGGTACCACTACATCTTCTAGAGAAACACAAAACCGATTGGATAACCTGTCTCTGCTTATTATTGTGGCAGCAGAACTCAGATGCAACAAACGCCGAACTCCGGGGGTGGCATTGGCACAGCAGAAAGAAGTCGTGTTCTCTCTTAAAAAAAAAACCGATGGCAAATATCAGGCTCTCTATACGCGCCTCATGGGGGGGGAGACTAAATAGAGCATTGTTTGTTCTCCTGAAGTGCGTATTGCAAGCTCGTGTCCTATTAGACTACGCGAGAGCGTGCGTGTGCGCAAGGACGTGTGTCTGCGTACGTGCGGGAATTCCAACCGTAGAGCCGCGTGGGTGAAGACATGCTGCTGTAGGTATGCTATTATACGCTATGCGGTGGTGTCCAACACCGAGTGAATGAGGCGCGGGTTCTTTCGGGGGAAAAGAGGGTCGACTGCTGCTGCTGCTGTGGAAAGATCTTGGACAGTAAGATAGAGAGAGAGAGAGAGAGAGAGAGAGTCCTCGTCGAGACCTTTGTAGATACAATGTAGCGCTCACCTTTTCCATCACAGCCCGCCCTTGTGTGGAGCATTCGAGCCCCCAAGGGGAATTGGTCAGCAATGTGTTCTTTTCTCGGACAATTAAAACGCCCCGTGGAAGGCAAACAAGCCGGCGGTTGTTTGCTCATGATGCACAGTTAGTTCCGTCCGGCTACAAATAAATCCGAGAGAAAAATAATGCTCGTTCTATGTAGTAAATTTAGTTCCGGTTCCACCACCTGTCACACAACTGCCCTGGGTTACTAGCTGCTTACACTAGACTAGTTATCTTCACATCCATCCATCCAGCAGTACACAGAAACAAACGCGAGCATCCCATCAGACACATACATACATACATGTTGTTGTTGCGGTCGGAGAGCAGAAGACGTCGTCCGGGGGGGGGACGGGGGGGGGGGACGTTCGTCCGCAATAAAACAACGGGTTGAAGTACGAGGAGAAGAATCACACTGCTTCTTTCTCTATCTGGTTCTTTCTCTACCTAGACTATTGTGAATGCCACCTCAGACTGCTGTAGTAGATGGTGACGTCAGATGACCTGTCGGAGATCTACCTTCGGGGTGTTGCCACAGATAGAGTCAGTGTCGGGTGGATGCTGAACCTTGCTTCAACACAAGGTCGCTCCCCCCCTGGCTCACAACACAACTATCCGTACTCGTCAGCCTCTTCACCAGAGGTTGAACCGGTGTGTATCCACACCACACATCCCAACGGGAACTTGCTCACACGCGAACCTGGAGACAATAGTCTCATAGTGGCGTCAATAGAGTCAGTGTCGGGTGGATGCTGAACCTTGCTTCTCAACACAAGGTCGCTCCCCCCCTGGCTCACAACACAACTATCCGTACTCGTCAGCCTCTTCACCAGAGGTTGAACCGGTGTGTATCCACACCACACATCCCAACGGGAACTTGCTCACACGCGAACCTGGAGACAACAGTCTCATACTATTATTAAGGAATAATAAAAACACACACAGCAAGACTACCCATTCGAGATATTATACCCACAGACTATCTATCTATGTGTTAACGACCAAACAAAATGGTCGTTAATAATACCCCTTTACTTAAGGAATAATAAATACACACACAGAAAGACTACCCATTCGAGATATACCCACAGTCGAACGGGATGTGGTGGATTCTGGGCTGTGGATTCTTTTCAGTGAGTGGAGGAAAACCGGCTGGGTACTGGACTTATTTCGAATCTATTTAATTAAGTCTATACACTGATGATTTCTGTATTATTGTGAAATAAATGTAACCTTCACAGGGGACACGGCGCAGTGTCTATTGACAGCTTGCTGGTTTGTTAGATATTAGGAATAATATTATT